TAAACAAGAGGGAATAGCTTGTAGAACTGGGGGAAGCTATAGATGAGAACCGGAAGCAGCGTGTTTGGAGGCGTGGTCCGATACTTAATATCTAATTTTATCAAACAGCTGGAATTGGAATAAACCTTTTTCATAGCCAGCATTTTGTTTTTACTCTGACTTTGTTTGATTTGGTGGGTTGGTTTTTAGGATGCCTGCATTGTTCAGGCCTGGTTAGTTGCGGAAATTAGCTCTTCTCTTTATGACTAGTTAGCTTGGGATCATAGGAGGTGCTGCCTTCAGGTGATAATACAGAGAGAAATCATTTTCATGAAAGTACTGCTGTGTTAGTTTTAATAATCTGACACTTTGTTACGCTTACTCGTGTTTTATCATTCCAGTCAGTGTAACATTTTCTCATGTTGTTAAATCCTAACTCAGCATTTTATGAGTCCATTGGACATATATAGTCATATGTAGGGTACCTAGCACAACCCCCCCATGGCCAAAACAATCTTAAAACAACATAAACATAAACAGTCATATTACACAATATGTAATTTGGCTGTGTCACTTCAGGGGAGAATTTAACATTAACTCAGACTCATCTGCTGTCACTCACCACTATAACCTCCTTGTTGTCTTTGAAGATGGTGTGGCTGTTGACCATGCTGACGATAGCCACGCCCAAGTTACACCGGATACCGAAGGAGATGCAGAAACCAATGCCAGAGAGGATTGCGATGATGTAGCGCCTGGGCAGACCGAAGCACGTGCAGTCCACCACAGGCATCTCCTTCTCCTCCACCAGCTCTGGCCGGCCCTCTGCCGACAGCTCGATGGTCTCGCCATTTTCCTGTTTCTTCTCGATAGCTCTGAGAGGAAAAGTGGGTAGATTAAAAGTGTCATCTACATTTAGATCACTTTATTGTTCCTGTATCACAAATCTGACAAGTTATCTTTGAAGAGGGGGTAGATAAACTGTATTCTTTAATAAAGACAAAAATATTTGTATTTCTTATCTCTTAAGCATAACTTGCTAAAGAAATAACCTTGAAAATACACAACAAAACACTCTTGCATGTAAATGAGTCATTTCAAAAAGCTTTCTCCTAGCAGATAGCATTGTTTACTGATTTATTTAAGCTAAACAATGATTCATAAGTGACAGGAAATAACTAGGTTCAACAGTTACTAAGTCCTGAAAGCCTAATGCATGTCATTGATTTAACTTCGGAGGAATCAGTAAGTGGGCCTGAGGTTTTCCAATCTCCTGCTGGCACAGTGAAAACAGATCCTGAAAAGCTTGTTGACTGACAACTTGGCCTGATGAAAGTGAGTGGGTTTAGATGTTCAGACAGTCCTCTTGGGTGTCTGTTTGACTGCTAAGTCAAGCATCACAGTCAGCACAAATGTCCATTAGCATCCCACTGCTGGGACCTGCTGTTAACACTTTAACTTATCACATTAAGTTAATACAATCAGGATTTCTGCGCTGCACCCTCACAGAAACCGCCAGCAAAAAAGAAAAGCCTAAAGCAAGCTGCTCTTCTGCCTCACTGCAAAACCCTTAGAAACCACACGGACTGTCAGCCTCCGACAAGCATCAAATATGCATCTAAATGCAGCAGTCATCTATTAAACATGACATGTGAAAAGCTGAGTTGTAAGATAAGACCACTGCAGGTCCAGCTCCGATCGCAGAGATGCACAGAGTATGGCTATACTTCGCCAAAGCACATCCACAAACTCAAACCTGCAGCTTTTAGCCAAAAATCAACTGTGCAAATGTAGAGCAGAGATCATGGGAATGTTTTGTTTGACAACTTGTACTGAACGAAAGGAGATTAAATGAACCAGATTAGCATTCATAACCGACTCTTCCTGATTTTTAATTACCCACAATTTTGACAGGTTAGGAAAAGACTAGAGCAGGTTATGATACTGTAAATCACATTCATTGTATGATTACATGGAATGCAACAAACACTTCAGTAAAACAGTGACAAAAAAAAGCAATCATGGAGGCAATAATCAATAAAAGTATCAATAAAATCTAATTTATATTGGATGTATAACTATATCCAGTTTTATCTTCTTAGGGTCAGTGCATTTAAAAGCCACAATAGTTTCTATGTATTGTTTCATGTTTCAGAGGTGGACAAGTAGAAAGTGACAGATCAGTTTTTAGCTCATCCAGCTAAAGGACCAATGAGTTCATGATGCCGTTGTTGCCTGTTAGAGCGTTAGTCAGATCACACTTGTTATTAATCTCTGGCTCTCTTCTACAGCAAGTCCTTCATCCTGTCTTCTTCCTCTGCCCCCAACCAATCACAGCAGATGGTCACCCCCCCCCTTCCTGTTAAAATTGAGTTTTTCCTTCCCATTGTCGCCAAAGTGCTTGCTCATAGGGGGTCATATGATTGTTGGGTTTTTTTCTCTGAATGTTTTATTGTAGGATCTACCTTACGATATAAAGTTCCTTGAGGCGACTGTTGTTGTGATTTGGTGCTATATAAATAAAATTGAATTGAAAACGTAAGAATAGATTTTAGTGAAACTTAAAACATTGATCACCTAATCATGGTCAAGGTCACATTTGCCATTTTACAGGCAGTATCTTATAAATTGTGAAACATTGAGCTGGATGAGTTACTACATCACTGCCCTTTAGGTTTTATATATACATGTGAGCAGCTTCTATTGACCTGGATCAGCCATGCAATTTGAAAACCTCTTCCACTGTTGTATACGTCGCTGTGGTAAATGTGATCACAGTGAACCTCTGATGCATCACCATACTCTTCCTAACCAAACAGACATTGTGATCATTGTAATTATTAAGGAGACTGGAGGATGGCGTGAGACAAGACCAAACACAAACAAAGCTGATAAAATTATCCAAATCAAAATATGCACACAAAATAACCTTTCACACGCTGAATTTTGTACAAAAAAACCCCAGTCCTGATGGCACATTTAAGTGATTCTTATGATTCTGATGCTGTAATATTTTTTTCCTAGATTTAAGTGTATTTTTATCTAAGGTCACTGAAGGTTGACAAACAAAGGAAATCGCAGAAGTGACTAGGACATATGACAAAACACCTCAGGTCAAAACACTTCCCAGATCTCTTTTTTTGTTGTGAGTAAATCTGTGTGTCATACTTGCGATATTCAACAACATTTAGAGCTTGTTCATCTAGTGGCAAAAGCTTTTATAAGTACATCTGTTGTGTAGGCCCTGAAGTTAAGGCAGTTGTTTATATCACGCTATGTAATATATTTCCTGCAGACTTTAAAATGACATGGTTATTACCAGAGAACTGCTGTGAGGCCATTTGTGTTCCTGCCAACAAATCTGTCCAGAACATTCATACAAAATACCAACACGATTGAAAACAGCTATGCCGTTATAAAAACATGCTCTGTTGGTAACTGTAAGCAGGGGTTCCAACAATCTTCAACACCGATCAAATATTAATGATTTTCGTTGTTAAATTATTAATATCGCTGGCTCTCTTGGACTATTTCTGTCTGGGCTGGCCTCTCTCGTCTTTCTTCCTGTCTCCTTTTCATCTTTAACTCTGCTCCTTACCGGCATCTCCTCTGACTCACACATATTCTCACACATAATTCACAGCAGTCCTGTCTTATTTTACACCAGTTTATTTCCCTAGTGTCCATATATGTAGTTTTTTTTCCACTGGCTGTACACTTGTAGTGCTTTCGGTCTCACTTTACAGTAAAGCTCTCTCTACTTATGATGTCATTTCTCAACATTTACCATGTAATTTTTGTCATTTTTAAGCATCTCAAAACACAACTGACATTTTAAAAGGAAAGGTATTATTAACACTGAGCATTTCTATGCAATTAACATATTTTGGGTATTTTAGAAGAAACAGCCAATGATGTTTCTTCTTCTTACATTGCAATTGCACATTATTGTTAAGGGCATAATGTGCATAATAGAATATCATAAACACCCCTTCTTTCATTCTAATTACACATTGTTTTGGTGCGCAAGATGTAATATGCTTCAGAGTTGTCCTATCTGATTAAGGGGGCACTCCAAGTCATTTCTTTAGAAGGTATGTCCACCAGAAAACACAATAAATGAAGTATCATGCAACAAAATGTGGACAATCTGAAAAGGGGAGATTACGCCATACAGCCAAAACTGCTAACAACAGTGTCTAAAGAATGAAAACGTGTTTGCATTGCCTTAAAGTTTTGTATTATATTAGAAATAGTCACATTATAAATTGTGCCTCCTTCTAAATTAATCTAAAGGTGTTCAACACTTCAAAATGCAGGTCTCGTTTCCTCTAAAACCTCCTTGCTCTGCTGCACTGACATTTTAGACTCATTTGGAATCAGTTAGTATTTTCGATACTGAATATTACACCTTAGACTAATTGTGGTGAAAGCATTTTGACAAATTATACTATAGGTCAAGGACTTTATTATAAAGGGCCACTATATTTTTAATTTTATACTGTATCAGTTGCAGTGACTTTTCATGACTGACCCCAGGTTAAGGAAAATCCGTCGTAATCCCTAAAAGCTGCCTGACCTTCTCTCCCTTTCTCCCGTTACACCTTGTAGAAAAGCCCAGATTGAATCATTCCTGTGGAACAATTGAACTCAATCCCAAAAAAGTAAAAGTTCTGAATATTGGAGTATAGCTGAGCTGAATTCTATATTTCCTAAATCAATACAGTTCCGTCAGCGGGTTAATCTCTTAATTCATACATCAAGGACAAATGTAGGGCAGACCGTCAACTCGGACACCTTGGAATAATTGATTAGATAAGAGAAAGTTGATGGGCTGAAAATGCTCCATGGCATTAATACAAACTTAGTGAACTAAGTCTCCTAATATAAAATGTTAAAATATCCTCTATCCGCTCATGTGGCAGTTATAACGGACGAAGGAAAAAAGTATTAGAGAGTTAATCATAAAATACTCTCGAGGAACGAGTTTTCCAGGTAAATGTTTTGAGGATAAAACCTGAGATAAATAAGAGATTCTGAGTGTCTTTGAGTCAAATTCCTGCTTAACCTGAAAATAAAGACAAGTACCAGCTGTCTACTGTGATCACTGACTGAAATCACAGACGATCGCGTGACTGCTAATTTGCGCTAATCAATTTTGAAAAGAAGAAGATGACGCTTGAGAAGTAAACATCAGGTGGAGAGTTGTATAATAAAACAGGCTAAAGGTTTAGTCATTTACAACAAGTAAATAAAGAGTCATTTTCGAATGTAAGGTGCGGATTTCGCGTGCGGAGAGTCGGAGCGCGTCAAGCAGGCCGGTGAGCCTTTTACGCAAAGCAGCCAGGTACAGCACGTGAGAGCAGTGCGCTCCAGTGAGATGACCTGCGCTCTCTGCCGCAGGCCGGGTGTCCTAATCCCGGCTATGAAGGGGGGGTGCGCGGGCGAGGGACAAGATGACAAGCTATGTGGCTACTAGAGAGGAAGAGAGACGTGGCCAAGGTGTACGCCCTGCAGGGATTTACGTGGGCCGACAGCTTGGACGGGGAGATGCTATTTCTGGAGGGGATTTAAGTGTTTAGACGCTGCATCAAATCCCGAGAGAAAGAAAGGGGAGTCCACCTATGAGTTTCTTGCTATCAGATAACTGCCCAGGTTCTTACACGCTATTTCTCAGGAGTGCCCAATGAAGGTTTTTGCTTTGTTTTGTTTTTTGCCACCGAGTGTCAACGGAATTGGTTGCACTGTCGCTATAAACCTATAAAAGTGTCCCAATAAGTCATTAAAATGATACCGAGTTCTTAAATGTCTGTTTTTCTGTTATTCTAACCGATATATAACAAGTTCTTATGACAAAATAGCTGTTTTTTTGAAAGAGGTTACTGTCTACCAATGAGATGTGAGATGACCGGCTTCTTAGGCCTGCTTTACGCTAAACACACAGTTCCTCTTTGAAGAATAATTCGAGCAGATTATCAACATTGTCTAATCTCTAAAAATGGTAGAAAGTGAAACACAGAGTTTTATTAGTCTTTCAGAAAATTCCAGATGGACACCCCCTCCCCTCCCCTCACTCACACACACACACACACACACACACAC